GCTGACCGATGTGATTTGTTTGCCTACTAGGCTAAGGACTTTGGTTTTTTGTTTGGCATGTTTGACCGGCGATAAGACCGGCGCGCGAGGTGGCGCGTATGGTAGTTGTGGCGCTATTTGGGTAAGCCAGCATGGATGCCTAGCAGCCTCACGTTTGGTCATAGGTGGAGATGAAGCCCAGACTGTTTTCCCCACCAATCCCACTTGGGCCCCGTCACCAATCAAGGCCTCCTGTTTCCCCACAGCAGCCTTGTGACTCCCAACCTCACGCCCAACGCGACTTCCTGATTGGAGTAGGATGTGGGCCTGGAAGTGCGAAAAGGGGTGTGCCAAGGATTTTTGGGAAAGTGGGGGTGGAGTACCATGTCAAAACTGAGATCTCCTGTGGCAGAGTTTTTTGGGGGCACGAGTGCAATTTGGCGGAGAGGGGCGGACCGCCTCTGGTCATAAGGCAGATGGCATGCGCGGGGTCACTCAAGGCCGGGCGAGCCATTGGTTCCGAGGAAGGCATTTTGAGGGAAGGTCCCTTCGGGGTGGGTGGGGTTCCGATGAGTCAGACCGTCGAAAGTGGCCACGTGGTGCCGGTCGTCATGCGTTTGGGTTAGGCCTCCGGAATTCCGGGGTCTTCTGATCGCAGCGTCGTCAGCAATTTCCGTAGGGTGTATTGGGCCAGTGGGGGGCTATGACCTTCCACGGAACAACGCTGAGTTGGTGATATGGAAGAAGAAGGCGAAAGAGAGTGAAGCTGGTGGAGATAACGACAAAGCCGGGGTGGGTGAAGTTGTGGGTGTGGTCCTGAGTGGGAAAATCAGAGCACCGGGGGTCGCTCGTGGTGGCGCAGTGAAACTCCCTAGGACACAGTCGGTTCTCGGTTAGGCAAGGGTATCTCTGTCGGAGGATTTCGTCTATCCAAGGGGTGAAGTAGTCCAGGTCGTACAACAACGACTCCGAGCTTTCTGAGCGTGTCATTATGTCATCGCAGAGCTATGAGATGCCTAAGGGCGGGTCTGTGTCGATTGCGATCACCACGTGCGAGCACGTGTAGGCTTGTGCGAATCGAGTCGTGCTTACGCGTGTTCGCCCGGGATGATGGCTCCGTCGCAGACCCCGGATGGCCGTATCCAATCAGACAGTATTCCTGTAACCGATGGTTCTTTTTGGAATTGACGAATCGACACACGGGGGCACACGTAAATGCGCAGATCAAGTCGCGTTTACATGCGTCCTCGCGCGGCGCTCGCTGGGGCAGACATCCGATTGTCTAATCACTCCGTAATTTTCGAGCATGCAAGATGCAACACCCACAACAACTTAATCAAAAGATGGGTAAAAACGAGAACAGGATTACCGATTGCGCAAAATTCCTATCCTACTCACGAGTGCATCAAATGCAGTAGACAAAGGCAAAGGCAAGGATCCAATAGGAAATAAAAAACATGACATTCATACATTCATTCGTTCAGCAACACACACACAATGCATCTGAGATGGAAATCGCAAAGACAAGTGTGAGCAAAAACCCAAGTCCAGATTCCGAAAAACAGAAAACGGGCAAGTCACCCGAAGCCGAAATCAAAATTTATATACACGAGACAGGAGGGAGAAAAAAAAAAAGAAACAGCAAATCCGTGTCCATCAACCTCAACTCCCTCTTCCTCTCTCTCCTTCTCCAATGCGGACAGTCCGTCGTCGCACAACAACCTACGAAGCCGTCACCCCGCTTAGTCCTCCCGCACCTGTCAGGTTCGCCCGCGCCCACAGTCCGTCATGGCCCGCGTCAACCCCGCGCGTTTGGCACCAGCTCGTCGGGTCGCCCGACTCCTGCTCTACTCACCTCTTACTTCGCTCGTGTGTCGACCCTCTTTGATCGCGCAACCCCAAGCTTCCAACAGCTGGTTAAGAGCTAACTAATCGTGCGGCTGGAATGTATAGCGTGCATGCATGCGCGAAGAACACGGAATTACAAGGACTTAGAAAGAAGATTAGAGAGGGAACGCCCGCGTTCTGCATGACCGGGCCGCGGCGTGGGGGACGTAGCCGCTCTCCACACATTGATCCGATCATGCAGACCGCGACTACCAAAAGCACAGCAAAAGGAAGAGAAGAAGGGCGGGAAAGACGAAGCACAAGAAGAAAGACACAGTTACAATGGCGCCAACCCAAAATTACAGTTACACACCTGATTAAAGGCGCCGACTAATCAAAATTCCGTTGCAGCCACATAGCAAATTCCCGTGCGATATCCGCGCCCAAATTCCAAAACCGAACAAAAGAATCAACGTCAACAGTTATTAATCGCGCACATGACAGCACGCCAGCCATTCAACCGACCAATCAATCACCCGTCCTGGGACACGCCTAGTTCCGAACCCCACCATCGAAAAAGGAGACGACGAAAAAAACGAAGAAGCGAGGGTACTGATGCAATTCCCCACCGATCCCGATCTCCCGTAATTGGCCCAACCTTCCCAGCTTAGGACCCCTCATTGCAATCGCGCAGAAAGTCGCACGCTACAGAAAGTGGTTCGTCACAGCCTCACGCAGGAAGTCGCGCGATCATAGAAGATAGTTCGTCACAGCGTCTGGAAACTGGTGGACATGGCCCCCCCCCCTGCTCAACTGGCCGCCTCCTTGGAAAGGGTCTGGAAATCGGCCGGTGTCGAATTTCCAGACCGCGGACCATGTAGAAATGCCCCGTCACCATTTCCGCTACCTCTTTCCAAGCGCAGTGGGGTCTGGAATTCCTTTCCGGGCGGGCTTTCCACACTGGTTTCCAGACCCAGTGGGGTCTGGAAAACACCCCGGCACCCAAACTTTTCCAGGCCGCCGGCCAGTGGGGTCCACACCTTAGGTTTTGTCGTTTTCACATTCCCTGAGCGATGTGGCGATGCCCTAGATCCCCTCTTTTTGTTTTCCCCCCCTCTTCTCGGAGCCTACCGGTGTCCTGTCCGCGACTTTGCGTCTGTTCGTGTCAGGGCTCTGCGTGGCGTAGCAAAAGCTCAGCGCACCTGCGTGTCTGTGGCTGCCGTTGTATGCTACCTGCTGCACTCAGGAGGCAAATCATTGGATCTCCTAGAGGACAACGGACGCCATTGCATCTCTACCGCCAATTTCTCATTGGCTACCTGCTGCCCCTAACGGCGTCGTGCCGTACGTTTCGTCCCTTTCGGTACTCCTCTCTCTCTCTCTCTCTCTCTCTCTGTGTCTCTGTGCCTCCTCCCGCCCGATACGTTCTGAATGCTGTACATGCAATTTATGCAATTCGAGGGAAAAAGAGGAAGGGCAGTCTTCTGACTGGCGGCGAGGCAGGAACGGCTGAAGTGCGCGCGCTGAAGGTCTGCCGTGTGTTCGGCTGCCACCTGTGCTGATTGCCTGCCGCGTGTCACATGGAGGGTCGTTCAAGTTCCCGCGTTATCTGGTGACCCGTCGACATCTCCCGCAGAGCGTGCTCAAAAAGATTCGTCGGACGGAAAATTGTGAGGAAAACAAAAAAAAAAAACAGAAAGAAAAGCGACACGGAAAATTGTGAAGAAACAAACAAAATAGGCGGAAGGCTCACGAAAAAAATGAGGACCGCTCAAGCGTTCCCTAAAAGAGGACAACGAGGCAAGGGAACGAAAAAAGAAAGAATTGATTCGTCGCACGCCTCAGCTGGCAAGAGTGGACGGCCTGGGCGGGCTGATTTTTTTTTCTCCCCTCCGCTCTCTTTTTGTCTCGAAGGCGCGGGCGGCGGGGTGTTTCTTTTTCTTTTTTTAATTTTTCGAAGGGCCGAGGGGAGGGAGTGGCCCACTGGCGCCGTGCTTGCACTGCCGGGCTGCCGGGCTGGAATGGAACTCCGGCAGACGCTGGGACTGGGATTGCTGTGCTGAGAGTGACTTTCCGGTCCGGCAGAGGTGGTGGAGTTGACTGAAACTTGCCCGTAGTTGTGGTCAAATGCATCGACAGGTAGTATGGGATGGGAAATGGTGTCTCGAATGGAGTGAGGTGTGGAAATGGTGTGTCGAATGAACCCGTTTCCTCCCCCGCACCCGGGCCCCCCTCTAAAGGACAAAAAAAAGAGCGAAAGCATCGACGGCCATCGGTTCGATGGCTCCTCGTGGGAGATGTCGACGAGCTTTCCAAAAGGACTTTCTAAAAGGAATAGCGGTAGCGGTTGCAGTTCTGTTTCCGGTGGGCCAGGGATTTGCAGGAGGGAGGGAGGGAGGTAGAGAGGTAGAGAGGTAGGGCCAGGGATTTGCAGGAGGGAGGGAGGTAGAGAGGTAGAGAGGTGGGTGGTGTGAACGGCGAGAGGCGACAGACGCCAGCCGGGACCCGGGAACAGGTTAGACACTTAATGGGATCGGGATCAGGTTGTCGATTGGATTGGCTTCGACCCCGCCAGAAAGCGAATCGCGAGATAGATTGGCCGGGATCCGTAGTGTCGAGGAGTTCGGGACGACGAGACCAGCCTGAAGCTGCCCGGACACACACACACACACACACGCACACACACACACACACAGAGAGAGAGAGAGAGAGAGAGAGAGAGAGAGAGAGAGAGAGAGGCCGGGGTTTCGTGGTGCGGGTGAGCGGGGGGAAGCTTGTCGTCCCGTCCTGATCGGACGTGTAATCGTCGCCGAGGAACATTTGAATTTTTATGGCGGTCGTTGCTCGCCTGACTGTCGGTAGAGGATGAGAGTTGTGCAGATCTGGCGGATGGGATCGGATCGGTTTGATTGTCTATCTTATTCGATCAGCCAATCAAGTTATGAATCAATCAATAAGTCGAAAACCAATCAATCTATCAGTCAATCAATCGATCAATCAGACGAAGCGATCGATCAGTCGCTTACTCAGCTGATCGTCAAGGATCATAAATTGATCGATCGGTTCATCGGTTAATTACTAGTCCTTCGATCGGCGAGCGAGCGAGAGTGGTTGGATTCGCTTGTGGCTTCGCTTCTGTTTGTCACCTCGCTTAGTTCACGATTGCCATCCTAGAGTCTAGTTATGTAGATTGAACAGTAATAAATCAATCCATCAATCAATCAATCAATCAATCAAGCAACTAATCAGTCAGTAAATCAATCAGTCAATCGAAAAGTAGCAATTTCGAATTGATCGGTCAGCGTTTGCGACAAGTGATGAGGAGCTCTGGTAGTTTTGGACGAATCCTTAGTGCAGAGGGATCGCCAGGCGACGGCAAAGAGCACATTTATGGTTGTCAAAGTCAATGGGGAGGAGGAGGAGGAGGAGGAGGAGTAGGAGGTGGGGGAGGAGGGTTAGGAAGACAGCAGAGTCCAAGCACTTGTCAGTGGCTGAGCAGTGCTAACAACATGTGTAGCAGCTGCGGCAGCTACGTGGGGTGCTCCACAAGTGGATGCAAAACTTGTGCTGCTAACAATCCCAATGGTGGCAGCCACGGAGCAGGTTCAAGTGGAGGTGGAGGTGGAGGGGGAGGTGGTCTTCATGCTCGTAGTGGCAGTAGAGGATCTCTAAGGAGTAGCAGAGTGGGATTGGGAAGTGGAGGTGGATATGGAGGAGGAGTAGGAGGAGGAGGAGTAGGAGGAGGAGTAGGAGGAGGAGGAGGAGGAGGAGGAGGCCAGGGAGCCAGCGCAAGGGCGCTGGGCGTGGTCATTCCCCACGATCTTCTCCCGACAGACTCTGTATCACTGCGGCAATCCATCCAACACCACTACAATTATACCCTTGCTAAATGGGGAAGAGATCCCGACGGTCATGATGTCTACGTGTCGACGGCGTTGAGCGTTCGTGATCGGTTGACTGAGAGATGGCAATCAACGCAAGACTACTTCCAGCGAAAGGTTGGTGGATGTGGACCTCGTACACGCATTTGATTGATTGATTGATTGCATTGCATTGATCGGCTGATTGATCGAGTGATTGCATTTCATTGGAGTGATTGATTGCATTCATCGAGGGATGAATGGATGGATGAATGGATGGATGGATGGGATGTATGAATGGATGGATGGGATGTATGAACGGAGGGAAGGCTCATGGTTATGGACGTCGTGCGCGGGTGATTGATGGACTGACTGACTGATTGAGTGATTGATGGATTGATTGATTGATTGATTGATTGATTGATGGATTGATTGATTGATGGATTGATTGATTGACTGAGGGCATGGGGAGAGGGAGGAACGAGATGGACGAATGGATGCTGAATGCGAAGTTCATGTACGGCCATGATGTGTTGACATTGCCTTCATGCTTGATAGGGTAAATGAATGCTTGATTGATTACATGAATGGATGATTGGAAGTACGAATGCTTTGGAGGGGAGGAATATGTGTGTGTGTGTGTGTGTGTGTGTGTGTGTGTGTGTGTGTGGAGGGGTGAAATGAGGGCACTCACTGCCTGTCCCCCGAACATAACGCACCCTAAAAATGAATGTATACAAGCTATATTTCCGGCCAGATACAGCCAAAATAAGGGTGCGTTGTGTTCGGGGGAAGACGGTAGTAGAACGTCGTCGACTGAGCCTGGTCAGTGACGGGTAGTTATAGTTCAGGATTGCTGCGAATCAGGATTGCTGCTTCATGTGTATTAGTAATGGTTCAGGGCCGCAGTCCACTACTCGCCGCATGCACAAAAGACGAAAAATACGGCGGTGTATTTTCCCACGTTCTAACGGAAGATTCATTCTCATGTTAACACTCGGTGCGTAGTGGAGCAAAAGGCCCCTCAGTCTGGAACGAAGTGAAATCGACAAAACATTGTTGGTACTGGCCTCTCGTGTTATGTGCCATTCTTGTCTGTTTTTGCCAAGAAAACCACTCCTTTGAAGTTCGATGGCTCTATACATGGCAATCAAATCATAAGATGAGATCATGAAAAGCATACTACAACTAGAGAGTAGAATTAACACCATAGATTCAAAAGCATTCAAGTGCTTTGTTTTTTCTCTCCTCCGTACCGTACGTGCAACTATTCTTCTTTTTTTTTTTTTTTTTTTTTTTTTTTTTTAAACACCCCCCCCCTGCAATGCTAGTGGTGCTGGTAAGAGCTGCAACTTTCATTGCATACGGCTGTCCATTTTTTTTTTAATTTTTTTTATTTAAATTGACCGTAGCCGGTTGCCGTCATTGTAAAAGTCGTGGACGTGCGCCTTTAAATGGTCCATTCTATTCGTTCTAGTAGAATGGACCATTTCTCGATCTATGCGTGTCATCCGTTCGCAGGGGCCCATGCAAATCTTCACTTTCTCTGTATCTTTCCAAAATTTAACTGTATAGAGAGACAGGGAATATTAGAATGGAAATGGGTAGATGAAAGGGCGAATCGAAATAGCTATAGATGAATTGAAAAAGCGTGGGCCGAGAAGATTATAATGGAAATAGGTAGATGAATGGGCCAAGCGAAATAGGTAGATGAAAAGGGCCAATCGAAATAGCTATAGATGAATGGGGCAATCAATCGAAATAGGTAGATAGATTAATGGAAAAAAGCAGGGCCCATTGCTAATTTTCACTTTCTCTGTATCGTTCCAATTTTAACGGTACAGAGGAAGAGAAGATTGGAATTAGAATAGGTAGAGTTGAATGGGCGGATCGAAATAGAATGGATGAAACCTGAATGGGCCATGTTAATCTTCTCGTTCTCTGTATCGTTCCGGCAGGGAAGAAAAGCAGGGACGATGGATAAAAGCTGAATGGGCCATGTTAATCTTCTCGTTCTGTGTCTCTCGATAGAGAGTACGATTAATAGAGTGGATGAATGGGGGAATCGAAATAGGTAGATGGATGAATGGGGGAATCGAAATAGGTAGATGGATGAATGGGGAAATCGAAATAGGTAGATGGATGAATGGGGGAATCGAAATAGGTAGATGGATGAATGGGGGAATCGAAAGAGGTAGATGGATGAATGGGAAAGAAGCGGGCGTTGTTTTCTTGTGTGTCGGATTTTCTTCTTTGTTTTCTTTTGCTTTTCGTCAGTGAGATGATTTTTCTTTTTAGTTTTTCAACTTCCTAGTAGTATAAAGCGCAATCGGCGCAGATGTTTTTTTTTTTTTTTTTGAATCGACGAAAAAAGTCTTACAGCCGCAGGTACCTTAGAGAGTGATTTTTCATTTTTAATTTAGGTGATCTACTCTTCGAGTGATTTTGTGAAGATGCCATGGAATCTCTGGAAACGTATCTGATCTCGCCATTCAAGCCACATACAGTACATGTGCTTGACGACGTGGATATTGCGAAATGCTTTGATCGATTCAACACTGCGTGCCTCTTGGAAAAACGTATCTGATCGCCGTTCGAGTGATTTTTTTTGTGGTCCCAGTGATTTTTTTTTGGTGGTACCAAATGGACCCCACGCGTCATGATGAGGAATGAGAGTAAGGTCCAAGTGATTTTTTTTTTGTGGTCCCAAATGGACCCCACGCGTCATGATGAGGAATGAGATTAAGGTCGCAAGTGATTTTTTTTTTGTGGTCCCAAATGGACCCCACGTTGAGATCTTTCTGATGATGCGTGGTCCACGAGGACCACACAAAGAAAAACAAAAAAAAAGAAAGACATTGTATGAGACCTGCTCTGATTTTGTCGCAAACCGCGCTATAATATTCCTCGACAGTCTGAAACCTGCTCTGACAGCAGCGCCATAATTTCCGTGATTTTTTTTATTTTTATTTTTTTTTTGGGGGGGGGGGGCACTCCTGGTGTCGTCGGGATAGTAGGTGGTGGGGTCCGGCGACTGGAGGACCAATCAGAGCGCGACAAACGCATGTTCTTTTTGGAGCTGAATTGCTGAACGGATTGCATTTCATTGCATTGATTGATTGCATTCATCGAGGGATGAATGAATGAATGGATGGATGACTGGATGACTGGATGAATGGATGGCTGACTGGCTGAATGAATGAATGGATGTATGGATGGAAGGATGAACCTGGAGCGCCAAACAGAGCGCCACAAATGCGTTTTCTCGTTCTCCTTTTTTCCCTTTCTTTTTTTTTGACGGAAAGATTGGTTCGGCTTGATTAATCAGAAAGTGCGACAAACGCATGTTGATAGCGTTCTGGAACTGAATGGCTGAACGGATGGGCAGGATGGCTGGCTGGTTGGACACGTGGATGGCTGGCTGATGGCTGGCTGATAGGCGGGCTGGCTGGCTGGCTGGATGGATGGATGGACCTGCAGGAGCAATCAGAGCGCGACAAACGCATGTTTTCTTTCCCCCCTTTCTTTTCCCCTCATTTTTTTGGGCTCATTTTTTCAGCTGCTTTGTTTTGGGAAATATTGCTTTGGCTTTATTAATCACAAAGCGCGACAATAGCGTTCTGGAGCTGAATGGGTGATCGGATGGGCGGATGGATGGATGGATGGATGGATGGATGGATAAAGATGGTTGAATGTCGGGCGGGGGGGATGGATTTGTCTTTTTATCGCGATTTATGTCCTTTAAAGGAAGGGAGTGTTAATGAAAAGGGGATATGAAGGGGGTGGATTTGTTTTCTTTTTTCGCATATTTTTATGTCTTTTAAAAGAAGGGAATGTTAATGTGAAGGGGATGGATTTGTCTTTTTGTCGCATTTTATGGCTTTTAAAAGAAGGGAGTGTTAAGGAAAAGGGGATTATTCATATCCCCTTTTCATTAACACTCTCTTCTTTTAAAGGACATTAATATCCCCTTTTCATTAGCACTCCCTTCTTTTAAAAGACATAAAATGCGATAAAAAGACAAATCCATTCCCCCGCCGCACATTCAATCATGTTTATCCATCCATCCATCCGCCCATCCGTTCAGCCATTCAGCTTAGGAGTAGTGGGGTAGGTAATAGTGAAAGAAAGATATGTTCCATGACATGGTAGAGCGCAAGTTAAAAAAAAATGTGAGGTGAGACAAAAATATATGTCTGTCCCCCGATGAGGAGACAGTCAGCTTTTGGAAGAAAAAAAAAAAAAAAAAAAAAAAAA